CAACCGCATCAATTAGACAGCTGTCATTCGAGGATTCTAGTAAACATCTCTCCAGTAAGTCTGTCGCATACCTGCACTTTCAGCTTTCTATCGAATGGATAAATAAACGTAGCACGACGTTCACCGTGACCAGAATCGTTGTAATCTGGAAGCAGCTTGGACACTTATGCGAGTCCTACGGTCTCTACCGTGGAGCGCATGCCGCGTGTGGATGCTGTAACGATATTCGTACCTTAATACGCACGATGCATCCTCGTAGTAATTGCATTCCGTAGCTGCATGCCAATGCATTAGACGTTTCTACGCCGAAGTAACAGCCTGGCCGGGCCGGCAGCTCGCTGCGGACAAAATTCCTGGAGACGCGCGTTATCGAAGCGATTTTTAATCGATCCCGCGTTCGGAAAGCTCGGCGAATACATTCGTCGCTTTCGAAAACGTTCGATCGAATTGCGAAATTAATCGGGGACACGATTCTCCGATTATTTAGACCGTTTTTTATTTGGCGGAATTCGAACTGGTCTCCGATCTTGTCGGTGCTTGATGTTAATTTATAGGAAATTATCTCTAATTTACGCTCGACTTGGGAACGAAAGTGGACAATTTGGGAAGGCGAGATGAGATTGTTCGAGCCTCGAGGTTCGTTTTTGCAATCGCCGATTCTCAAATTGGCTATTTCTGTTTATATGTTGAGTGACAATTGGAGAGAATTTACTGTAATGTCAGAATAACTGTAATTTTAGAGTATTATTTCAATCTAAAAAAAAAGAAAAAAACAACTGATTCATGTTAGTTCATGAAAAGTGACGATAAGACATTTATTCTGATTTTCGGCAATATTTGCCGCGGCTAGTAAATGATACGGTGAATTCTCTCCAATTGCCCTTCGGCTTGGGAACAAAAATGGACAATTTGGGAAGGGTAGATACGATTATTCGAGCCTTCAGAATGCCAACTAGCTATAAAAACGCGGGACTCGGATAATCGTATCTCCTTTTCCCGAATTGTGCATTTAAGTCGAAGGACAATTCGGCAGAATTAATTGTGCATCCAACAAATGACTCATAAATCTATGAACGCCTGTTCCGTGAATTATTCTAAATTATTCTCGAGAAGTGCATTTTCCTCGAGATTTTCGCAACGCGTTACTTCATTTCTGCCGAGCGTCGCCGCGCATCAGAAACGTCGAGTAGCCCAAGGAGACCAGAGATTTCCGAAACAGAAAATTCCGGCACTCGGCCATAGTAAACGGAGCAAAGTTCCAGCGAAGCACGTAACTGTCGCGAGTAACGAGGTTCCGCGAGGTCCGCAGCGAGCGGCCGACCACGGCCGAACTTCTCGCTCGAAAACTGTGCAGGACAAAATACAGTGGCCCGCGAAAGTGTTCCCAACACCTTCGAAAACGCAATAACCTTTCTTTTTCAAACCAGACGAAGTCACCCGGATCTTTTTTCTTTGACGATAGGAGGGACTAGTCTACCGGACAGTGACTAAAATGCTTTTCTTTTATTCTGTTACTGGTTGGAATGACAAGAAAAAAGGGGAAGAAAGTCTCGTTTTTTAACCTTTTTATCTGATGCATGTATCGAGAACTTGACAAATGCATTTTTGTAGATCTCGGTGACTTATGCGAGTGCTAAGAATTTGAGCAAAATTGGTTATGCTAGACTCAAGCTACGGCGTTGAAGGATTTTAAAAAACTGTAGATTTCTTGCGGTTTTTGGTCGAAGGGGCAAAAATTGTGAGAAAATGAAGAGATTGAATACCAAAGTGTAAACGGGTTAGAGAATTTTATGGACATTGTTATGTCATTCTCTTTGATTTATTGTAATTAATCAATTTTATTGAAGTTAATCTATTCTATTAAAATTAATCAATTCTATTAAAATTGATCAATTTTATTAACACTAATCAATTTTATCGAAGTTTATCTATTCTATTAAAATTAATCAATTCTATTAAAATTCACCAATTTTATTAACATTATCAAATTTATTGAAATCGATCAATTTTATTTGAATTAATTAATCAATCTTTATATAATTTCTACTCTCGCGATAATTAAGCCAGAAAGTTTCCATTGCGCACAAAAATCTATAGTCTACACGCAATTCACCGAGACCCAAAAGAGTCATTTTTTAAATTTTCGTTCCACGCACAGATAAAAAGCTAATAAAACTCGAGATTTTTATTTTCCTACTCCAAGCAACAGCCGAATCAAACAGAAGCATTTCAGCCATTGTCTATCAGTCCCTCCACCGTCAAAAAAAAGCAAGAAAAATTCAAGTCATTCAGTCCAGTTTCAAAGAAGTCGTCGCATTTTAAACACCGTCTACGCATAACGGTACGAACGCTTTTTCACGGGCCACTCTGTTCGTCCCGGCGACGCGTACACGAGCACGCGAGCGACGCTTCTCTGTATTTTCTCCGTGTCTAGCCCGATTCTTTTCCCGGCGGCCGCTCTCTCTGGCCGGGTCTTTTTTACGATCTTGCTTACGTTCTCCGCCCGTCTAATTTCTTTCTCTCTTTATTTCCACGTCTCTGTGTTCTCTGTTCCCCCTTCGCCGCGACGAGGAACAATGCCCGCTAAAGAATCGGCGGGATCGCGACCCCGGGTCCGGGCCGCGGAACAATCGCGCGAAATCGGAATCGCGCGCGCACGCGCGCTCTCCCGGCCGCGGCTGGGGAACCAAAGATCCATCGGATCCTGTGGCCACCGTAATCGGTGCACCACGGACTGAGACTCACCCTCTTGCACGAAATCCTGCGAGATGCGCGATTCGCGAGCGTCTGGACGGCTGGTTTTGCGACGCGTCGCGATGGAACATCGATGGCTGATTATAGCAATTTCTCCCTAACTCGCGCTCAAATCCCGCGGAAAATTGGACAGTTTGGGAAGAGCGGATGCGATTATTCAACCGTTTTTATAGTTATCGACAATCGATAATTATAGAAACGAGCCGCGATGCTCGAATAAGTCGCATCTCCTCTTCGCGAATTCTCCATTTTTGCGCGCGATCTGAGCGCGAATTACGGAGAAATGACTGCAAAAGGTAACTCCGCCGGGACTCTTCGTCGTCCGAAATCACTCCACGAATGACGAATTCCACGAGTTCCACGAATTACGATCTTACGGGCGCAACCGGTGAACGAACGCGTGTGCCGTGATTTATTGGCCCGCGCCGCCGCCGCCGCCACTGTCTCGAGTACGTTGTCGGTGTCCCATCGCGATGCTTGTCGGACGCGCCGTTACACGAGCGTTCGCATGCACCTGTGGAACAGCGCCGTAATTCAAACTTCCGGTAATGTCGTTTATCGCGCGCGAAGTCGCGGCTCTTCGTTCGCCGGACGTCGGACGAAGCGTCGCTCGTTCTCGAGACGCCGCGGATTTTCCAGTCGAATTTCGGTGTCGGATCTCTGGCCTAGGTTCTTGTCGGACCGGTTACTGTGCGCGGTGACCAGTTACTGTGCCTTCGGGTCGTTCGTGGGCATAATCGACGCGCTATGAGTCGGCGAAGTGTAATCGAAGTCCTGTGTGTGTGTGAATCTGGGAGTGTAATTAAAATAAGTCTTGAATTTATTTGTTAAGAAGTTTCGTCGAGCTTATGTCAAGGTTATGTCAAGGTTGTTTATTCGTTGGAAAGTTATGCGAGTTCAAAGTTGACGAATTTCGAGCGTCTTTGACAGGTCAGCGCGCCGTATTGATGCGTTGAACTTTCGTAACTCTTTGACGTTTAGAGCGCAATTTTGGCACAACTTTTTAACAAATTAATTTCTAGGCTTGTTTTAATTGCATTCCCGAATTCAGGATTTCGATTACAAAAAGCTATTAACACTTCGCCGGCTCATAGCTCGTCAATTATGCTCACGAACGCCAGAGATTCGATTCTGAAAAATGCGATCTTATCGAGAACAAACGTGTAGTTTCACTCGAAGAACTGTCAACTTTCACGGAGACCTGTCAATCTTCATTCAGATCTGTCATCCTTCGTCGACATATCTGTCAAGCTTCCCAGAGATCCGTCGACCTCCCTAAAGGTCTGTCAAGCTTCGTCGAGATCTGTTAAACGCGGATTAAATAAATTATAAATCACGGAATACAGTAATGTCTCTCTAATCGACGCCCAGATTGCGCAGAAAAATGGACAGTTTGGGAAGAGGAGACACGATTATTCGAGCCTTGCGATTTATTTTTATAGTTATAAATTGTCCACAATTATAAAAACGAGCCGCAATTTAAGTGGACAATCCGAGCGTCAATAAGGGAGACATTACTGTACAATAATGTCTCTCTAATCGACGCCCAGATTGACCAGAAAAATGGACAATTTGGGAAGAGGAGACACGATTATTCGAGCCTTGCGGTTTATTTTTATAGTTATAAATTGTCCACAATTATAAAAACGAGCCGCAAGGCTCGAATAATCCTATCTCCTCTTCTCAAATCATCCATTTCAGTGGACAATCCCAGCGTCAGTAAGGGAGACATTACTGTAGTATAGTTCGGTGTGAAAAACACGGGCACATTTCGCGGACGAGAATGGCGAAGTTTTCGCCGAACACGTTGTCCGTCATCTCGAGCCTCGTGCACCGAGGAGATACCGAAGTGCGTTCGCGGTGCATGCGAAACTTTTGTGACCGATGCGTCTCGAGTGAATGCAGGATGCGCCGGAATCGGCTGGTTACCTTTCCGACTTTGCGAGAATGGTAGGAGTGGCGTGTGCGTGATCCCTCGTTGGTCGGTTTTTTTTCGCTTTTCTTTGTCCGAAGTGCGAGCGTGAAGATGAGCGTGGGCCGCGAGACGCGGATGAAAGATCGTTCGGGGCGAAGCCTCTTCCGAATGGAGTAGAATCGCGGGGGCACGGTATTAAGAGGCGGAGCCCCACCGGTGTCTTTCATTCCTCGCGGCTAATCGAGTGGATCCGCCTGTCCGTTACCGTGACTAATCGCCTCCTTTCTGTGTTTCTTTCTTCGGGGGATCTTCGGGAACACCCCGAATTCAGGGTCGTACTTCAATTGCATCATGTTCATGGTGGCGAGCAGCGTGGTCCTGACGGTGATGGTGCTCAACTTTCATCACAGGTCGCCGGACAGATACGTGATGCCACGATGGGTAAGAAGCTCCTACGATCTAATGTGAGTCGTGTCAATGTTCGTGCAAATCCGTAGTCTTCTAGACGAATTTTCATGTATAGAAATTAATGAGTATGGCAACTGACAAGTATAGCAATTAATAAGTATAGCAACTGATAAGTATAGCAACTAATTAGTATAGAAATTGACAAGTATTACAACTGACAAGTATAGCAACTGACAAGTATAGCAACTGACAATAAGTATAGCAATTTAGAAGTATAACAACTAACAAGTATAGTAACTGACAACTATAGCAACTGACAAGTATAGCAACTGACAAGTATAGCACCTAGCAAGTATAGCAACTGACAAATATAGCAACTGACAAGTATAGCACCTATAAAGTATAGCAACTGGCAACTATAGCAACTGACAAGTATAACAACTGACAAATATAGCAACTGACAAGTATAGCACCTATAAAGTATAGCAACTGGCAACTATAGCAACTGACAAGTATAACAACTGACAAATATAGCAACTGACAAGTATAGCACCTATAAAGTATAGCAACTGGCAACTATAGCAACTGACAAGTATAACAACTGACAAATATAGCAACTGACAAGTATAGCACCTATAAAGTATAGCAACTGGCAACTATAGCAACTGACAAGTATAACAACTGACAAATATAGCAACTGACAAGTATAGCACCTATAAAGTATAGCAACTGACAAGTATAGCACCTAGCAATTATAGCAACTAACGAGTACAGCAACCAACAAGTATCGCAATTTAAAAGTATAGCAACTAACAAGTATAGAAACTAACAAGTCTAGCAACTAACAAGTATATCAATTAATAAGTATAGCAACTAACAACTGTAGCATCTGAATTCTTTCGAGTCAAAATGTCGATTTCCATTAGATGCTCCAAGATACAGTAATTTCTCTCCCGAAATGACAAATTTCGGGTCGCTCTGAATTTCCCTATGCTAGTTCTACTCCTGTGTAATTTAATGCTACGTCGATGCCAAGGATCGACGATTCAGTCGCATTATTAGACTGCGGATCTTTATGCGAAATAAAACTCATCTGCCCTTTTGCATAATAATTTGCACCGCGCATAAACGTTCATCCATCGAACGCGTTTCCCACGAACAATTCTGAAAAAATAACATCGGCGCTCGGTTGAACCACAAAAGCGAGCTAGTAGTTTTTCTCGGCCGTTTCCTTCCCCGTTCATAGAGAGGATGCAAGAAAGGAGTATAAGGTTTCCCGCGTCCTGAAACCGGCTAATTAAATTTCCTTTCGCTAACATAATACAGTGCTACACGTCAGACGGCGAATTGCGGCGGAAGAGTCGGCAACGTCGGGGAAATTTAATACATTCGTTAATAGAATTGTAACTGTGATTTCCTCTTACTCCGGAGGGCTTGCTCCGTCCACCACCCCTCCCCCCTCCCGAGTGCAAATTAACTCGCCGTTTGAAGCCTTTCACGGTGTGAAACGACGCGATCGCTTCGTGATCCGGCTTCGAATACTATAACGCGACTCGTGAAAATCTTGGTGTAAATCTTTTTTTTTTACGTAAGATTTCGTACCTCCTTGCGAAGCTCGCCGTTTATTCGCAGAAGTGATTAACGCAGGCTCCACTCGCGTTTCGTGAAAGTTAATTTCATAAAGTGCAAGACTGAAATTAATTATTATAACCATCGAGAAATCCGAGAAAAATAAACTCGAGAAGAAATTAGTTTTCGTGTCGTATTCGTCTCTCGGCGATTGCAGTCGGATTTTATGTGAAACGTTTCTTTTTTATTCTAAATTCAACCTTAACATTAATATATATGATATAATCTATATATATGATATATAGATATAGATATAGATATATATAGATATATATGATATATAGATATAGATATAGATATAGATATCGATATATATAGATATAGATATAGATATATATATATATATATATATATATATATATATATATATATATCTATATATATATATCATATATATATAGATTATCATATATATATATNATATATATATATATATATATATATATATATATATATCTATATCTATATATCATATATATATAGATTATCATATATATATATATATATAAAAGTTCGATAAATATTTCGGTGAATATTTCGGAAAATTCCGACTCGATAATTCCAGAATGAGTTCCCTTTTTCTCGGGTGGTCAATTAAAACCAAAAAGAAAAACGCTCCCGATGGCTGAAGGCACTCCGCCGGCAAATCGAGTAACAAGCTTTTGAAATTTGTTTAAGCCGACGTGGAAGCATTTTTCGCCGGCAGCGACCGCCGGCGGAAACGGAGAAAGGAAAAGGAAAAAAAGGAAGAAAAAAGAAAGAAAACAGAGCCGATGTTTCGGTGCATAAAACGCGAGCCTTATCTCCGCGGTGGCCATTACGGCCTCTAAAGACAGCGCTTCAGTCGCTGAAAGTTTAAAGGCGCCTTCGAGGCGTTAGCACTTCCCCTTGACCGTTGATTACTGGAACTTTCATAAACCAAGGGGGGGGGACGTATTCGAGGAAGAGACGAGAATCCTTCAGCTGCAAAAGATCCCTCCCTCCCCTACCCCCGGTCGGTTTGTTCGTGCCATTACGTTTCGGATGGAAGCGAGCCCCGAAGACACCCAACTTTGTCCTAAGGAACAACGGAAAAAATAGACGGCGACGCGGTACACGTTGTTCCGAAGATTGGGCTACAAGAATTAAACTTTTAGATTCGCGGAACCCTCCGGGAGATTGCGGAGTTTGCTCGGTTGTGGTCCGAGCGAGTGCCTGAAAAAACGAGGCAGAAACGTGAACTGTTCGATACGGTAGAACTTCGATTATGCGAATTCGAAATTGATAGTTCGTTTCGTTTTGTTCTCGACGGATTATTGATACTATAAGATGATATATAAGATGATAAGTCGACGTTCAATCGAGGTGCTTCTACAGTTTCATCGTGTTACAGTAATGTCTCCCTAATTCGCGCTCGGATTGCGCACAAAAATTGTCCCAAATTGTCCACTTTTGTGCGCGATCTGAACGCGAATTGGGAAGAAATTACTGTATTTGGAATAATCGAGAATCAATCATTAGTCATATATGACTGGAAATATTCATTACTGGTATTACAATATTATTCTTTTTATATAATTTTTTGTTGACTGTCCTTATGCAAACTTCATCGTATACTTAGTTATACTTAGTTTCATTATTTTATATTGTTTATACAAAGAATAAAGGAATTTTTTCGTTTGCCAAGTTGTCTTTTTGTTTCTTATTATACACATGTACTTGTTATCTTACAAATACTATGCTACTTCTTATTTTACAAGTACAGAGTTTGTTGATTTTGTTAACTGTGTACTTATCTTCCTTTACAAAAGAATATCAGTGTGCCTAAACAAACTTTCAGCCACTGTATTTTACATTCCAAGAGGAAATAGCTCCAATCTTTGCAAATTAATTTACGCTACGTAAACATTACGGATTTGCATGAACATTTTCATCGTATTACCGAAAATAAAAATTTGATTCGCAACATACTCACGGTTCGTTTAATATTAAGTGTAGGTTCTTTGCAAACGAATACAGATTCTGTTGCTCTATACAGGATGTCCCATAATTATGTTAACAGTCAGGGAGAGGGGTGATCCCTGGTGTGATTTGCAGTAACTTTTTCCTTTACAAAAATGTTCTCCGAGGCATCGTTTACGAGTTATTAACGAAAAACCAGCGACCAATGATAGGCGAGCTGCACTGGCGGCGTGCGAGACGGTCGAGTCAACGAGCAATACAGTTCAGTTCCGCTGATTGGCTCGGGCACCTCGCGCCAGCCCCTCGCCTCTCATTGGTCGCTGGTTTTTCGCTAATAACTCGTAACCGAAGCCTCGGAGAACATTTGTGTAAAGGAAAAAGTTGCTTCAAATGACCTCAGGAATCGTCTCTTTCCAACCATTAACATAATTATAGGATACACTGTATATTCCGTTTTCTTATTACAGTGAATTCTCCCTAATTGACGCCTTATATATAATTAAATAACCTTGCGGCTCGTTTTTATAGTCACCGATTCTCAACGACTATAAAAACGAGCCTCGGTGCTCGAACAATCGTATCTCCTCTCTTCAAATTATCGATTTATGTACCCAATCTGTGCGTCAATTAGGGAGAATTCATTGTACACCGCGCGAGCATACTTAAAAACTGGACGACGTGGACAAAAAGCAGTCTCTTTCACGCGACAAAATGATTCGACGTTCGAACGAAAGCATTTAACTCGCACTTTTGCGTTGCGTATAGATAAAAACACTGTTTTTAAATTGGCTGCCATGCTTGCTGCGTATGAGTCGTCCGGGCAAGAAAATCACGAAGAAGAACATCCTGATGAGCAACCGGATGAAGGACATGGAGCTGCAGGAAAGAAGTAGCAAAAGTTTGCTGGCAAACGTTTTAGATATCGACGACGATTTTCGTCACAAAAACAGCGCGGCGAATCCTCCTTCCGGATACATAAGGTAACGTTAAACCCTTCGCAGTTTCTTCGGAGAAAACTTCCCTCTCTCTCTCTCTCTCTCTCTCTCTCTCTCTCTCTCTCTCTCTCTCTCTGTTTCCACGTTCCCGGGAATAATCTCTTTCCCGCGAAAGTTGCGTCACGGAAGTTCGCCGCCGTGAGGCCGGTTCCTAACAACGCGTCGTTAAAACAAAGTTGCGCCGCGCGAGTATCTCGCCGCGCAACGGCTCTTATCGTCTAATTGCAAATGAGATGGATCGCGGCGATTTTTACCGCGATATTTTGCATATCCCGTTGCCTTGTTCCCGACGAAAACTCTGGCGAGAAGCGCGGAAACGATCGCGCAAGTTCGAACGTAATTCTCGGCGTTGCTCGTCCGTGAGATACAGCAATGTCTCCCTAATTGATGCTCAAATTGTGCAGAAAAATGGACAATTTGGGAAGAGGAGACACGATTGTTCGAGCCTCGCGGTTCGTTCTTATAATTGTTGAAAATCGGTAACTGTAAAAACCGAGTGGCGAGGCTCGAATTCGCAAGGCTCCTCTTCCCGAATTATCCAGTTTTGTAGACAGCGCGTCAATCCGAGCGTGGACAATCTGAGCGTCAATTGGGGAGACATTACTGTATCGGCGTTGTTCGTTTAAACGCGATTCAGCACAGGTTCGTAAACGGCGAATCGCGTTTCCCCCGTGATATATAAGTTCGTTGCAGCGGCGATTCGAAAGTTTCCGCGTTTTCAGACCGAAATCAACGCGTGTATCGCGCGGGCTAATGGCTCCCTGGGATAGACCGCAACTTTGCAATTCAAACGCGCGGGAGTCCCCGCGAAAAAGCTGCGAACTATTTATCAACTTGGTTCGTTCGAATCGTAGCAACTGTATAATGCGATAGGAAGTTCTGCTTGGAAAACGCGTCCGGGGCGAACCGAGTGTTTCCGTTGCGTGATTTCGGATTAACGCGGTCGAGGGGACGGCCGTGTATGGTTTTGGATCAGCGCGACGTTGTTCCGTGCAACTTTGTTCGCAAAATTGTAATATCCCGTCGGAAGAGAACTGGGATGACTGGACCGCGGACCATAGTGTTCTACGGTAAATTCTCCGTAATTGACGGTGAGATTGTGCGCGAAAATGGACAATTTGGGAAGAGGAGACACGATTATTCGAGCCTCGCGGCTCGCTTTTGTAATCGCCGATTCCCAAATTGTCCATTTCTTTTGATGTGTTAAGTAACAATTGGAGAGTATTTGCATGGCAAAGTAGTTCATGGTTGACTGGTTCTACTTGTTGCGAATTTAGAGTATTGTTTCAGTAAAAAAAAAACAGTTGATTTATGTTAGAACAGAAAGAGTGACAGTAAGACTTTTATTCTGATTTTTATCGAGTGTTATTGTAATATTTGTCGCGGCTAATAACTGATACAGTAAATTCTCCCCAATTGTCCTTCAGCTTGTAAACGAAAATGGACAATGTGGGAAGGGGAGACACGATTATTCGAGCCTCGCGGCTCGCTTTTGTAATCGCCGATTCCCAAATTGTCCATTTCTTTTGATGTGTTAAGTAACAATTGGAGAGTATTTGCATGGCAAAGTAGTTCATGGTTGACTGGTTCTACTTGTTGCGAATTTAGAGTCTTGTTTCAGTAAAAAAAAAGCAGTTGATTTATGTTAGTACAGAAAGAGTGACAATAAGACTTTTATTCTGATTTTTATCGAGTGTTATTGTAATATTTGTCGCGGCTAATAACTGATACAGTAAATTCTCCCCAATTGTCCTTCGGCTTTGAAACGAAAATGGACAATTTGGGAAGGGGAGACACGATTATTCGAGCCTCGCGGTTCCATTTTTATGGTTGCTGGAATATCAGCAGCTATAAAAACGAGCCTCCAGGCTCGAACAAGCGTATCTCCTCTTCTCAGATTGTCCAGTTTTGTGCGCAATCTGAGCGCGAATTAGGGAGAAATTACTGCATTTGCGATGTTCGTCGCTTAAGAACGTCCTAAATTCATTTTAAAATGCACCTCTCTCTCGTTTCGATCGTCGTGAAATTATTCAGAGTACTACTACTACTACTACTACTACTACTACTACTACTACTACTACTACTACTACTACTACTACTACTACTACTACTACTACTACTACTACTACTACTACTACTACTACTACTATAGTAGTAATAATAATAGTAGTAGTAGTAATAATAATAATAGTAGAAAATTTGCACACAGATCCGCGGTCCAGTAACAATATCGATCGAATATCGTTCGAGAAACGCCGAGCGTCCTCTTAGCCGCGAAAATCCCATAATCGAAATCACAAATAATAATAATAATAATAATCAAATAATTGTTCGTTGTTTATTTGTGCAACAACAGGTCGGCGTTCGGGACACCGATCTCCACGGGAAGACCAGCGACAGTCGAAGACACGTCGGCGTCGTTACCTCTCAGTGGTATGCAAGAGGAATTGCGTACGATCCTTAAGGAACTGCGATTTATTACGGATCGTATGAAAAAGGCGGACGAAGGCGACGAAGTTATTAGTGATTGGAAATTCGCCGCCATGGTGGTGGACAGGTCCGATATTGTTTTATTTCAACTTTTTGTCTTTTTGTTCGAAAGGTCCCGAGTCCGTGCAACTATGCTAACCGAGGATATTGTTGACGTATGCCATGAGGTTTTTAACCATGAGTTTCATCAACGTTTGGAGTAATTCTTAGAGCTTTCTAAATTGTTGTATTTTTTGTGTATTTATGGAAAGCATTTAGCTTTGCTGGTGAAATGGTAACACGTTGGTGAAACTATTATTGTGTACAATATAACAATATATTATACAATATATTATATATATATATTATATATTATATTATATAATTATTATTATATATTATATATTATATATTATATATTATATATTATACAATATAACAATATACACTATATTGCTATATTAAATACTATTATAATAATATATCAATTTGGTATATTATATATTAATTTAGTATATTATATATTGATATACATGTATATATATCATATATTATACAGGGTGAGTCACAAATTAGTCCCCACGATTCTTCACCCCTTCCAATGGTCTGACAAAAAAATAGTATTTAACCTTGACAAGAAATTTCAATTGTTTAAATTTTAAAACGAATTGATCTCCGATTTAGAAAAAGCATAAAAAAATCACCGTTATATTTTTAAACGAAACCAGGTAATTTTAACCTTGACAGTATTGTAGGCGACGTCGAGACGAATTCAACGACCTGCTACACGATGACCTTCGAATGACATTGAAGGAAAAATCGTCACAGACCAGTCGAGAAAGGGTTGAAAAATCGTGAGAACAAATTCGCGACTCACCCCGTATATATAATACATTATAACATGTATAACTGCTAACGAAACGATTCATAGAAAATGTTTACTAACAATTGTCCGTTTCTGTTAATTGCAGGCTTTGCTTGTTCATCTTCACGTTATTCACAGTTTTGGCTACAATAGTCATATTGTGTCGTGCGCCACACATAATCGTCCAGTAAATAGACTGCCCCGGTCAAGCCACCGAAACAAAGCACAAAAATACCAACGGTAAAGTCGCATTAAATAATAATTATCATTCATGCCCAACTGCCCAGCAAGACTCTGAGATCCCCGGATTACATTTTTTGCGCCGAAATTGTAACAATTTTCTTGGAACCGCAAGCTTTAACACTCGTCCACCTCGCGCGATCAAATGATCATTAATTGCCGAGATTCAGCGCGATTTCAGAGATCATGCTTCGGAAAGTTGAGAATCGAAGTTGCTAGTTTAATGGCCGGTAGAAATCGAAGGGAGTCGAAACTATGCGGAAAAAAGTAAGTGGCCGGTAGAAATTGCAATTTCGTCGCAACCGTTGCAGCAACCGTTGCTTGCAACGGGTAGCTAGAATTTTCGAAGCGACGAAGTTTCAATTTCGCGGAGATACAACTTTCGAGCGTCAATCTATTTCGAAATGAAGTTCCGCAGCAAAATATCGTCGCTTTACGTTTCCGGTTTACCGTTTCCGCGCGCGCCGTCGTTTCTACGTGTCGTCGAACAAACGGTTTACGTTGCGACGGTTCGCGCGGCCGCGACGTACGCGCGCCCACGTCGCAAGAAGTGAATTACGGAAAACAATCGACGACGCGTTAATTATGGAAGGAGACGGATACATTAATTTCAAAACAACGCCGTCGACGCGCGTACAAGTTCCGTCTCCGTGTGACGTAACGCAGAGAGAGAGAGAGAGAGAGAGAGAGAGAGAGAGACGTAGAAAGCAAAATTGATAGAGCCAACGGGAACGTTAATTTGTTTTACGTAACGAGGTTAGCCGATGTATTTTCACGTTGATAATACCTCCTCGATGCACAATTTTCCGCGAATAATTGATCGCTGAGGGAAAAATCGCGCGACGCGGCAAAATCCAATCTCCACGAGCTGCTTTTCCAGCGATTCTTGCGACGTGAAAAATTCTCCTCTCATATTATAATCCGTCGACGAGAAAATTGTTTATCGCGCGGGACTAATGTTACTTGGTTTAAATTTATCAATTCTGAGAACATTTATTTAATAATCCAGCGATCAATCGAGCCACTTTATCCAGTTTCGAACACGTTGGTGGATTTTTCTACTTAAAGCAGAATTTATACTATTTCACTGATCTATCAATTCGATATTTTCGATTCTGTGCTGTGAACGCTAGAACTTCCGCATCTTAATCGCGACTAATGTATACAGTGTTCTATAACTATGCGAACGCCCGGAAAGGAGTGATTCCTGAGGTAATTTCAAGTAACTTTTCCCTTTACAAAAATTTTCTACGCGACTTCGTTTACGAGTTATTAGCGAAAAACCAGTGACCAATGAGAGACGAGATCTGCTGGTGCGTGGCGGCCGAGTCAACGAGCGCGTGACGTCCAGTTCACCCTCACTGGCTCGGCCGCCTCGCGCCAGTCGAGCTCGCCACTCATTGGTCACTGGTTTTTCTTTGATAACTCGTAAACGATGCCTCGGAGAACATTTTTGTAAAGGAAAAAGTTACTTCTACTCACCTCAAGAATCATCCTTTTCCCGGTATTTACATAATTCTGGAACACTCTGTATGGCTTTATAACAACGAGAATATTTGATTTACTTAAACTTCGTAAGATTTCTATTGTATAATGTTCTCTATGATTCTTATAGAATCTTTTTTAGAATATCAATAATTGAAAAAGAAAAAATCTCTTAAAAAAAACAATGGACGCGAATGGACGAGATGTTTCGAAGAGACATCGAACGTTAAATATTGAACAACGATTCGAGAACCCGATTCGTTGCAATTACATACACCTTTACATTTTGTTAATTATTCAAAGCATTCTGCCCCCTCCCCCCTCTGTCCACTTTGCTATCAAATCTCGGCGTTCGGGCTGGTTCGATCCTTCATTTCTGTAAGCTCTGTGTAAATTCGTCTTATCCGATCCAACGATCAGCCAATTTCTTATCTGCCCTACTGTATACGTACGATGAGAACCGTTCGATTGGATTACTGGCCCGGAATTCGGATCCGGATATTTTTCTTACCGCTCTACCGCTCTGATCAATTGAGATACCCGAGCTGCCGGCAAATCCTTTCTCCCTAACAAAGGGATAGCGGAGAAAGAACTGGCTCCCTTTAATAACTAGTATCCGGTAGCACGCGCCTTCAAATATTTGGCCATCCTGCTACTTCTCGGCGGTATTACCCTAAGGCTTTCGAATCCATTCGCGCGATCTTCATTCGATTATAAATTTTCATGTGTTCCACAGCAAGTATTGTAGTGTCGGTTCAGATCATCTAAAAATCGTTCAAGACTTTGCGAACAAGATTTTATATTTTATTTAACAATTTTTTGTATCGGCATTTCCTTCTACCGAGAGTTTATTCCTCCACTATCATTATCTTCTGTCTCCGTTAATTTTCCAGTCATTATATTTATTTGCATGTATCAACAACTTTTCAGTCATTCAAAGAAGTTTCAAAGTTTCTCAAAGACAAATGAGTCCTTTATTATGAAAACTTGTTAATAAATAAATTGAATTAAAATTTGAGAAAATATAAATCCCAGGTAGATAAGATTATACAATATTGTACAAAATCGGTGATTAAACATTGTTTCGTGCACTCTAATTAGATAGGATTAGCTAGATTGCGGATCTTTACGCGAAATAAATATGTTTCAAAACGATTATAGCAAACGTAAATCGAATAGAAGTAAATTGTTTCTTTTAATAATTTCAATACATTGAAACCGCGGTGTAGTTATTTCGGCAAAGTCGTTGCGTTTTGAAAGGTATATTAAAACGGTATAAAAAAGGTATAGTGAACATAAAGGTATAAAAAGAACACTTTTGCAGACGATTGTACAATAAATTGTCCCTAATTCAATATAACCTTGGCATAACCTTGACATAACCTTGACATAACCTTGACATAACACTTTTGCAGGCCACTGTACAATAAATTGTCCCTAATTCCATATAACCTTGACATAACCTTGGCATAACCTTGACCTAACACTTTTGCAGGCCACTGTACAATAAATTGTCCCTAATTCAATATAACCTTGACATAACCTTTACATAACCTTGATATAACCTTAACATAACCTTGACATAACACTTTTGCAGGCCACTGTACAATAAACTGTCCCTAATTCACGCTCAGATTGTACAGAAAAATGAACAATTTGGATAGAAGAGACACGATTATTCGCGCCTCGCTTTTGAAGTCGCCTATTATCAACAATCATTTCTCCTCTTCCATAAGTGTCTCCTCCAAATCGTCAATTCTTCCGCACAATCTGAGCATCAATCGATTCGAGAGAAATATACTGTGCTCTCTCGAGCAACAGAGCTAACGTAAGCGCGAACGACGAACCGTCGAACCGTTGAATTCGCGAAACAATTCGGGGGCCCGGCTCGCTCGGCCGCCGGGCCCCGTTCAGTTTAACTGCGACACTGACGATCCTTTGTCCCGCAGAAACGACGATGCGTGGGTTTCGAGGAGACAGCTACGGCGGGACGAAGCAACGAAACACGGAGACACGGGACACGGATTCGTTGCTCTCCATTTCCTTTCTTCTCGTTCGGGTCTGCTCGCTCCTGCGCCCTTCGATTCTCCTCCTCCTCCGGCGGCGGGAAGAAGACGGCCGTCGGCAGCGGAACGAGGGGGACCGGACACGGGAAGGTCAGAGTTGCGCGTGCAACTCCGTTCCTCCGTTTTAACGATCGCGGGGGAACGGCGCCGACGGCACCGACGGCACCGACGGCACCGACACGGCGATCGTCCACCGGCCGTCGAGGCGAACCAAAAGAAGAACCCGTCGAAGGAGGGCGGAAGGAGGGGCGAGGCGTTGCCAGGCAGGGAAACGGAAGCAGCCCGCTGAACCAGCTGCTGAGAAAATCGGCGAGGAAACCCGATCGACCGGTGTCGAGAGGAGGGATCGTCGTCGTCTGTTCGGTTCTCTTTTACCTCACGTTGACTAGGAGTTTAAGGATAGTTCTCGTTCGAACACACAATTGTCCGTTCCGATAGCGCGTTCCGATCGTCGACGAACGCGACCGATCGACGGTTTATAGGGGACCGCGGATATAGAGATGTCGACGATGGGGGTTGACAACCAGGGGGGTGGTGGGTGCGGGTGAAAGGTAGAGAAGTAAGTAATTACGCCGATGAAACGAACGAACGAACGGACAGAACGAGTTCAGAGAAGGGGGGGGGGGGCAAGAATGGCGCCTCGACATACTGCTGACAATACACGGCCACGTTGTGCGTTCACTTCCTTCGTTTAAACACAAAACAAAAAGAAAAAAAAAGTAAAGAGAGAAATCGAAACTACCGCAGGGCGCGACAGTGGTGAGCGCCCATAATTGATCGACCGCTGCGTCGTTTTCTTCTCTCCTCCGTTACAAGGTACGAAAACGAAAACGAAAACGAACCACGGAAGCGGAAGAAAAATAACGAAAAAAAAAACAAACGAACGAACAAAAATGGATATTAAACCGAAAGAAATCCGGGATATGTTTCGTCGTAATCGATTGCCGATCGTGTAAAAAACGTTCTCTAATTGTAAAAATGAAAAAGAAAAGAACAAAAACAAAAACAATGCGCGCGCGCGCGAAACACGCGGAACACCGTGTTATTATTATTAAACCGTGGGCCACGGAGAGCTCTTCGTATCGGCGCGAGAAGACAACCCGTGACGGCGGTTGTTGCGTATTCCTCGAGGGAGCGTTGTCGCGGCCTTTTCAATAATAAATAATAGTTACGGATCCGATGCAAAAGGAATAAATCGCGAGAGGAAGAACGACGAGAACAAGAACAAGAACAAAAAAAAGAACAACAAGAACAAACAAGAACAAAAACAACAAGAACAACAACAACAACAATAATAATAATAGTGATAATGTTAATAATAACGTTTTAGATAAGGATAATAATAAACGATAACAATAATAATCGTAATAATAATGGATAGCCGGATGATAAGCGCTAACGGGCACGAGGGCTCTGATCGAATAAACTAATCGATTAACGCTAAAAAAAGAAAAGAACGATAACGACACCGCGTTTTATCGGCGCACGCTATACGTACGTTATAGTCAGCGACGCTGGAGGAATTATTATTATTATTATTATTATTACTACTACTACTACTACTACTACTACTATTACTACTACTACTATTACTACTACTACTACTACTACTACTACTACTACTACTACTACTAATTACGAATAATCGCTTTGTGTGCGGACCTGTCGCGATCGAGGTCGCGCGCGCGCGCGCGCACGCTCATCGCGTGCCGATTTCAAGGGCGATCTCGCGGCAACGACACGGTCTTCAAATAACTGCCAAAAACCTAGAAAGCTCGAGACAGGGGTGTGTCCAACCAATTTTACATGAGCGAAGGGGCGGGGCGCGGTTCGTTTAGAAATCCCCCGAAAAAAAAACGGGAACGGCGTTCGATCTTGGCGGCCGATCCGCGTCGCGGCGGTTGAAAACGAGATAACGATCAACGACGAGAACGCGCGAACGTGACCATGGTGTCGAGCTTATTTACGTCGAATCGGGGCCCTCGAGAGCCTCGATCGGACAACGTGGATCGCGCCGATCGAACGCCGTTGCCTCGTCGCCGCGATCGGCGACCAGGATGAGAGACTGGCGATTCGAGCGGACACCGGTAAGTAGACAAAACTGCCAAGTTGGACGACCTCTGCTTTCCGTACAGACGCGCGAAAAATCCGAGTTCTTTGGAGGGTCGTCTCGACGGCCTGGATCACGCCGGGGAATCGATCGCGCTCGAACACGAGCAGCCATCGCGCTTTCACGACCACAGGGAAGCCTTCAATGACTGTACTCCGACCGCGCGAGTATCGGCATATTATCTCGTTCCGGTTCTTACTGTTTCTCGTAGTCGCTCGACCGCCGATCTTTGCCGAGAAAAATCGTGCAGGGCGAATCGTACGTAGAACGATCGTGCGAGGCGAATCCTGCGGAAAAAATCGTGCAGAAGAAATAATATAAGGCGACTCGTGCGTAAAAAATAATATAAAATGAATCGTACGTAAAAAGATCGTGCGGGGCGAATCGTACGTAAAAAGATCGTGCGAGGCGAATCCTGCGGAAAAAATCGTGCAGAAGAAATAATATAAGGCGACTCGTGCGTAAAAAATAATATAAAATGAATCGTACGTAAAAAGATCGTGCGAGGCGAATCCTGCGGAAAAAATCGTGCAGAAGAAATAATATAAGGCGACTCGTGCGTAAAAAATAATATAAAATGAATCGTACGTAAAAAGATCGTGCAGAGCGAATCGTGCGTAAAAAAATCGTGCGAGGTGAATTGTAACGAAACAATAATGTAAGGTGAATCGAACGGAAAGAAGATAATATAAGGTGAATTCTACGTGAAAAAATCGTGCAAGGTGAATCGTACGGGAGAAATAATATAAGGCGAATCGTACGTAAAAAATAATATAAAACGAATCGTGCGTAAAAGATCGTACAAGGCGAATCGTACGTAACAAAATCGAGAATGTTCATAACAATCTATGCACGAATTAGGAAATCTGTTCAATCATTTCCTGTGTAACAGCAATCATAACCCATATCCCATGATTATGTCAAGATCTGAGAAAGGATGATTCCTGAGGTAATTTCAAGTAACTTTTTCCTCAGCGAAAATGCAATCCGCGGCTTCGTTTACGAGTTATCAACGAAAAACACTGGCCAATGAGAGGTGAGCTCGGCTGGCGCGAGACGGCCGAGCCAACCAGCGGACGAAGCCCAGTTCCCCTCATTGGCTCGGCCGCCTCGCGCCAGCCTCGCGCCAGCCTCTCGCCTCTCATTGGTCACTGGTTTTTCGTCGATAACTCGTAAACGAGGCCGCGGATCGCATTTTCGCAAAGGAGAAAGCTACTTCAAATCACCTCAGGAATCAGTCCTAGTCACCTGTTGACATAATCACGGGACACCCAGTATAACGTCAATGATTTTAAAACGAAGAATCTGCGGCCGGTCAAAATGACCGTAGATTTAGTGTCAACGTCCCACAAATCTGACCGATAAACAGCAGAAATTCCAACAGCAGACTCGCGAGACTCGTCGTCGGTCCGTCACGGGTCTCGGTTTAGAATCGTAGAAATAAGGTTCGCGAATTAGAACGAGCCAACCGGTGATCGAGAAACTTCAATTGGAAGTCAGGACAGAGACAATCCTGGAACGGAAAGTCGCGGACCGCGCGAACCGAGAATCGAGAGCCACCCTCGAGTTAGGCCACCCTGAGACCCGAGCACGCGAAAAGTAACTCCGCGGATCGGAAATATAGGATCCTGCTTTCAACCGGCGAGTTTACGACTCTTTGGAACCAGCGATTACTTTCGAAAGGTATCCCGGCTTTCGGCATCGCAATTCCGGGACTCGATGATCGTCGAGTTTCATTCCCTAAATATCGGATTATCCTGATTCGGGTCTGGCACTTCGAGTTCGTCGAATTCCATTCAATCGACCTCGATTTGGTTTTCCACCCCCCCCCCCCTGCCGATTGGATTTTATCCGGATCTTTTATCTACGAGTTTGACCTAACTTTCGGCTCGCCCGGACTCGGCGTCTCTGTTTATTTCGCGGCACTTTGAACCGGGCCCCCGCGTAATTTCAGTTTCGAATTTAGTTTGCCGGTTCAAGTCCTATCGATCATAAAGTAACGCGCGTCGGTCCGGACTAATCTGGTTCGAATCTCCCGACCTAGATTGCTCCTGCTACAGTCACCGGATCCTTAAACTTGCCCGATACGCCAGCTCAAAGTTGGCCTAACGCGAGTTGTTTCGTCTTACAATAGACGCGCGCGGTCTGACTCGAATTCGAGGACTCGTTCTCGGGTTCTGGGCTTCGCGATTTTCTATCCTCGTTCTGCGATAACGTTTCACGGAATTTCCATTTATTTCGCGATAATTGGAGGGGAACGTAATATTTCGGTAAAGCTGCAGTTTCGCGAACGCGATTGTGAGCTCGGATCTTTCTTTTGTCGGCGAATCTTAGACATTTTCGAAAGTGGGAGACAACAGCCGACTCGGCTGAATTCAACGATCTATAGTGAACGAAAGGAACTTTCGGATGCTTCGCAGAAGTGCCGAGGAATAAATTGCGAATAAATTGATAACGCGCGATAAATGGACTGCGGATCTTTATGCTAAATAAAAATGAATGACGTCAGTTGCGAGAAATTGGTGATATATATATATTATAATATTATTATATAATATTATATATATATTATTATAAATATTATATATTATTATATAATATTATATATATATTATTATAAATATTATATATTATATATTATATATATATATATATATATATATATATATATATATATATATATATATATATTATATTTCTCCTTTCGTTATTTCAACTGCGTTGATAATAATGTATTAATATTGCATCAATTGCAAGAAATTGGAGCCAAATAGATATTTTGTTCTCTTTTTCATAATTTTAATTGGCTGAAACTAGCCTG